GGGGGGGAAATGCTGGCATTTTTTCTTTTCCTTTTTTTTTCTTTTTTAATTTCAGGCTATCTCATTTGTCGTTAGCTGTGTCAAATATTTGTTATGGTATTTTGTGTTGAATGAATGTGTTGGGAGCTGGGGAGTTGAACAGACAGAAAGAGAAGGAAAGTTGACTTAAGTGATGCTGGAAATAACAATATTGTGGTAGCGTGGTGGCAAGAAGCTGTATTGCAGCCCCAAAAAGGTACACTGTTCAAGGCCACCAGATCCGTGGGAGAAGGATGGGCAGTCTCCTCCCATGCAATTAACTGCCTCTGAAAAACCACTGGAGGGTCAGCTATGGGTTGGTTCCAACTCTATGGTACACAGTTACAATGACACCCTTGCCCTGGCAGGAACTACTTGCTTTCATTGCACACTCTTATTAGTAAACAGAAGGTTCTTTCAGATCTCCTGTCTGTGAACTCTGTATGTCAGAAAACAGAATGATAATTTGTCTATTGCATTTGGTGAAACCAGGTGTGGAAGGAAGATATACTGAAATGAGTCCTTGTTTGCCAGTTTAACAGATTCATCACCAACATTTAGAACAGTGTTTTCATGTAGAAGTTTTGGTCAGCAGTAGTTTTGATAAGCAAGGCTTTTAAATAAGTTTCTTTAAATAAAAGCACAAGATAGTGGTTTCCCTTGTCAAATAATAGATGACCAGTGGTGGACTCAACAGTGTACTTTTAATTGAAGTATTATTGCTTAGGAAGCTCTGATGATGGCAAAGGCAGCAGAGAGTTGTGCTGTTAATGCAAAGGTGGTGCCTCTGCTGGTGTGAATTCACCAGCAGCTCCTTTGGAGAAATATGGACAATCTCCCCTGTACAGTTTACAGTCTCAGAAAACCTGCTGGAGGATCAGCAAGGAGTCAGCTGAAACTCAATGATAATGAATTTGAGTTTTGTATTATTACCTTGAATGGACAAAATACTTTTTCATAAAAATTCGTCTTCTAAGTAAATTGACAGAGGAAAAACATATAGAATAGCAGTGAACACTATTTAACTGCTAATTTAGGAACCATAAGAACATAAGCTTTTCTGTTTCATCAGTTTGTGACTGATTACTTACTGCATAATGAAGTGCTAAAGTTTATATAAGCTTTTTAAATTAATTTTGATGAAAGTTTACAGAGTTTTATTTCAGCTATGTAAGAATCTCTGGTGGTATAATCCGCAAGGAATTACATGTCTGGCAGTTTAATCCTACCCGCTGCTCCAAAGAGAAAGATGAGCAGTCTCCTCCCTTGTGATTTACAGCCTCGGAAAACTCACTGGAGGAGCAGTTATGAGTCAGTTCCCACTCAACAGCCATGAGAGAGAGCTTTGTTCTTAGGTGAGAACATGGAAGCATGTAGAACTGAGAACAGTTTTCCCCCCAGCAGTTCACTGCCTATTATCAAGCTAATTCTTCTGACTTCTAGTTTACTTCCTTTGACTTTATGCTGAGTGAAAGAATTGTGAGGAACCCTAATTATTTTTAAATCTGAAAAAAAGTTGCTGACCTTAAAACCTAGATTATCAGGACTGTAACCTCTAAATTGAAGTGCTTAAGTGATTTTTTACAATTTTCTTATAGTGCCTATCTTTGAAAACTTGATAAGCAAATAGAGATTCATCTTCAATAAGTCATTAAGACAGAAAATCACTCAAAGATAGAAAACTAGGTGACATTGCTACAATAGGTCTGACCTTTTTTTTTTATCTGATCTCTCATTTCTATTGTGTAAGCGACATTGCTATTAGAAATTAAAGTGTCAATTTCTTGATACCTTGAATTTTAACTTAAAATGCCATTTCATACATAATTTTATCTTTATTACAAGACTTTTCAAATGCTAGTTACATCAACGAAAAAGCCCTGGTGCTGTAGGTAAGCCCTTTGCTGCTAAGAGATCAGCCATTTAAAGATAACAGTAGTTCTGGAGGAGAAAAGGCTTGAGGATATGATTCTGTGATGATTTCAGCCAAAGAAATCCTATGGGACAGTTCTAGTCTGTCCTAATGTGAATATGTGTATTGCGATGGTAAAGTCTGCTGTTAGGGACCTCTCCAAAGTACTGAAGAGCAATGGTGTCACTCTGGAGACTAAGGTGCATGTGATACAGGCAATGATCTTTGCAATCACTTGTTATGCATCAGAGAGTTGGACAATGACTAGGAAGGATAGAAGGAGAATTGATGCCTTTAAGCTGTGGTGCTGGAGAAGAGTATTGAATGTACCATGGACTGCCAGGAAAACAAACATTCATCCTGTAGAGGGTTAAACCAGGCTGCTCCTTGGAGGCAAGGATTCTGAGGCTCCATCTAACATACTTTGGACATGTTGTATGGAGGAACCGGTCCTTAGAGAGGGTCATCATGCTTGGGAGGGTCGAGGAATGGCACAAGAGGGGAAGGCCCTCTATGAGGTGGATTGATTCAGTGACTGGGGTAATTGGGATGGGAGTGTCAGAGACAGTGCGATTGGCACAGGACAGAGCAGGGTTTAGGGCTGTTGTACATAGGATCGCTACAAGTCGCAAGCGACTTGATGGCACATAATAACTACAATGTGAGTCAGAATAGAGTATGGTCCCATTTGTTTTAAATCATTAAAGTAAGCAAATACATAGAGTCAGTGTGTTATTAATTGTTACCAGAGACTGCCGGGAGGGTGTTTGTGTTTAAAAGTTGGTTGTTATTATATTTTGGAGGAACATTCTTCTAAGTGGTATAGCACTCTTCTGTCAATATGCTATACTAACGTAACCTAGGGTTGCTGTGATGCTGAACCTTATGCTATTGGGATATCAGATGCCATAATGGTTGCCCATGGTGTACAGTGATTGGTGGAACTTCCAGTTTAAGAGAGGTTTGGAAGCAGGAGTGGCATCTACTCCCTAAACAACATGCCTCTGGAAACTCTATGAACTTTGATAAATGATGATATAGAAAAGCTTCAGGTCTTTTGTTCATTGGGTTGTTATGAGTTGTGCTTGACTCTGTGGCAATCAGCAACAACAACAACAGAGACTGAGGAAGGGAAAATGCAGAGTTATTACTAAAGGAGTACTTAGTTTCTGATTGGTGTGATAAAAATCTTTGAGAAATAGGAGGAATGATTGTATAATGCATAGACTTTAAAAAAGTTAAAAATGGCAGAAATTTTCTTGCATTTTACCACAGTAATGTTTTTTTAAAGCTATTTACACATTCATTCATTCATATTGATAAGAGAGTACCTTCTGTAGGCCCAAACATGGCCTTAACCCAAAGTCAGGAATTCCTTACTCCATAAAGTAATTTTAATAATATTTGAATGAAAAGTTGGAAATAGAAATACTATTTGCACCAGCAATTTCGCTACTGGAAATATACCCTAAAGAAACCAGAACTGCAACCCAAACAGATACATGTACACCCATGTTTATTGCTGAGTTGTTCACAATAGCAAAGAGGTGGAAGCAACCCAAGTGCCCATCAACAAAGGAATGGATAGAGAAGCTCTGGCATAGTCACACAATGGAATACCATGCAACACTGAAAAACAAGGAATTCATAAAATATTATAGGAAATGGTTGACCCTGAAAGACATTATGCTGAGTGAAATAGCTCAGTCATAAAAGGACAAATACTGCATAATGCCACTGTTATAAAACAGGCCTAACATGGGGGTTGGGGTAAAACTAAGGAAAAATAGGATAAATAATGAACCCTTCATTTAAATAGATGAGGGAAAGAACTGTCTAAAAGGAATATATGATTAGGTATTATTTGCATGACAACAGTCCAAAATAAGAGGTGCATAGCAAAGTGGACCGAGGGATGAGGGATGGGAGAAAGAGGAGTCTGTGCTACAATGAAAGAATCTCTTTAAAGAGAAAAGTAAACTGGGGAGTTGGTTAGGGAGGAAAATGTGCAATAGTGAATGAATGGAAATACAAGTTTTTGGTAAACTTTAGTTAAAATAGCAATAAAAAAAGAACTTTTTTTGTTTTTAAAAGAGTACATGAAAGCTTTCTAAATATTTGCCTTCTAAGAGTATGGTATCTCTGTCTATGAAGGAAGATGTAATGTGCCAACACATAAAATGTGATTTACGTTATTGATATTACATAACAAAACTAACGTCTGAAGTAATAAAGGCATTTACTTTCTTATAAAAGATAATTCAGTGATACTAAGAATTATGGAATTGTTGAGAGGGCCTTTAAATTTTGTTTTGTTTTAAAAATTATTTTGGTTGTCCTTTTTTTTTCCCCCCAGTTTTTTTTCCATCAAAACTATTAAGTCAGCAAGCCAGTGTTAGTTGTTTGTTAGTTCCAAGCCGACTAAGACAGATTGATGTGTTAGTTCCAGGTTGAATAAGACAGATAGGCTGTATTCTTCATTGTTTGATTTTACTTTTATAGTGGTCAAAACCCAAGTTTTGAAATCCAAATAATGTATTTTGTTTTTCTTCACACAGAAGGGCAGACCATCAATAATACAGGTAATTGATTTTTTAAAAAATTTATGTACAAATTTTAAAAGCAATGTTTTCACTGAAATATTGTGGTTTTGCTAATAATATACTTTGTTGTAGGATGCTGTAACACTTTGTTCCTACCCTTTTGTATTTGATGCCCAAGCCAAGACCAAAATGTTACAGACAGATGCTGAACTACAGATGCAGGTATCATATATTAAAAAAATTATTTCCTGTTCTGTCATTTTTCTTATCCTAGTCATTCACCTGTAATTTTTCCTGGAAGTAGAAAATATATTTGACAAATTCCATCATGATTGTTTTGAACAATTTTATGTTGAATACAGTACATATATGTTGCTGTGTATTTATGTAAACCAAATGTTGGTCAGCTTTTTCTAGAAGGGGCCAGGTACCTCTGTGGTCTCTATTGCAATTATTTAACTATGCTGCAGCACAAAAATTTCTATAGAAAATGTGCAAATAAATGAATGTGGCTATGCTTTCATAAAATATTATATAAATTTCATCATTAAAAAATGACTGTTCTTAGCTTCAGAGCTATACAAAGATGGGCAGCTGAGTAGATTTATTAAAAAATGAGTTCTAGTTTGTTGATTCTTGATGGAATAATGAAAAAATTATAGAGAAATTAATAGTATACTTTAAATATATATTTTACCTTTTGACATAACTATAAAAAGGATTTGTGAATTAGCAATCCAAATAGGCAAGTTCCTATCCTTAGTGGATATGTAACATATTTTTCATAGCTTTCTCTGAATCCATCTGTGTGTGTGTGTAGGTATGTGTGTGTGTGTAAATTTATTTTCATTGTGATACAGTCACAATACTGAGAAGTTAGAGGTTTTCCAGAGAAGACTGAAATTTCTCAAACAATAAAAGACATTTTTTAATCAGTGACTGTTAATTCTCACCCCCCCCCCAAATTTTGAAAGTCCTATATCGTCAAATACAGTTTCAATTTTAGTCTTAATCACTTTTTTTGGAGCTGATTATCCATTATATCATTCATAAATTATTTAAACCTCTCTGAGTTCAGATTAGAAATATCTGTATGCTATATAAACAGAAGGAATGTAGACAATCTATTGTGAAAATTGGAGTGAAGGAAAGAACTAAATGGAGGTGCCGTCGGCTCTCTGAAGTCGAGGCGTAGCTGGTTGCCTTCCCGATGTTGTGTGGGTACATGCTCATTAATTGTTTTCTGGGGTGTGTCATTGCAGGTGGCAGTCAATGGAGCCAATCTGCAAAATGTCTTCATGCTTCTTACCCTGGAGCCTCTGCTGGCCAGAAGCCCCTTCCTGGTCCTTCATGTTCGCAGGAACAACCTCGTTGGAGATGCTCTAAGAGAACTGAGCATTCATTCCGACATTGATTTGAAAAAACCTCTCAAAGTGAGCTCCCTCATCATATTCCTCTAAGTCTTCATAGATTGTCACTAAACTGTTTTGGTAAAGCAGCAAAGAGCTTATTATAGTTGTGGAGTGTAGTCATTATTACATATTGTTGTCATCATCATCATCATCATCATCATCATCATTTTTTAAAAGTTTTGTTTAATTCGTTGTCATCATTTTTATGAACTGTTCAGTAGATTATAGCTCTTGATGATTGTTACGGTTAGAATAGAACTGTCCTGTCGGATTTTCTAGGCTGTAGTCTTTATGTGTATATGTGTGTGTAAAAGTTTAATTATGACTTGAGTGAAAGTTTACAAAACAAATTGACTTTTTTTTAAAATTTAATTTTATTATTTTTTTTGTGTACCATCAAATTGGATCTGACTGGTACAGGAAGAGATTGTCCTTCTTCCAGCAGAGCATCTGGTGGATTTGAACCGCATACCTCTGGGATTGCAGTGCAGTTTCTTGCCACTAGGCCACCAGAGCTCCCCAATTTGACTTTTTTTTCAGCCATTCAAATGTATTTTATTTTATAATGGTAGTTATAATACTCAGAATGTAATCATACTTTTCCTGCATCTTCCCTATAATTCTCATGTGCGTTAATTCTTCTGTCCTACTTGGGCATATGCTCCTCTTCTAAAGAGTGAGTGCCTCATGATATTCTTGGTCACTTTCTCGGTTTATCTCTTATTTTTCTGTAAGCACAGGGATGAATTTTATTCCAGGTTCTGAGAGTGACTAAGGGCTGGAGTGGTGGAGGTTCCACCAATCTCTGTTAGGCCAGTAAATTTGGCCCTTATTTGTATTTTTTAGTTTGTTCCACCTTCTCTCCACTCTATTCAGGACCTTCTACTGTGATCCCTTTTTTAGAGTAGTCAGCAGAGGTAGCCAGATGCCATTTCTGATCTCAGGATCATGGAGATTGCATTAATCCTTTGGCCTAGATGTTTCTGTACATCTTTGCTTTTCTTCTCACTTTGTTCTGGACTGGGATTGCACCTTAGATAGCTGCTCACAAGCTTTTACGATTCTAGTTTGCTGTTCATCAAAGTAGAATGTAGAACATTCTCTTAGTGAAACGATGCTATTCCAGTCCACCTTGAATTCCCCTGAGAGCCTAGGCTCGGCAGCTCATCCCTTCAGGCTTCCTGGTTATAATTAAGACGCTTATATAACGTTGCTGCTGTTCAAGATGAGACAGTTCTGGCTTAGTAGCCTGTCTCAGTTGAATTTTCTGGCAGCTGTATACCAGTAATCAAAGTCCTTTTGTCCACACCTCAGACTCATCTTGTTTTAGTCAACCCTGAACTTGGTCATAAGCATAAACTTTGTTGAATGTAGTTTTCAGCTCTCTGCCTGAGTCTTCATGTGTAAAATGAAGATGATAATAGTAATCTCGATGTATCAGGTTATTACCCTGAGAGCTAGGGTAATAGAATTCACATGCTGCCACATAGTAATCTCTTCCTCAGTGTTACTCATTGGATTGCCATCTTTGTTACTACCACAAATATTATACATCTCTTTACAGTCCTTCAGAGACCATTTTTGTGACTGTCTTGGTATGCTTTCTCTTGCATACACATCAATTACTTCACAAATCCCACTGAACATCATTTTTTTTCCCAGAAGTTTTCTTTACTCATTAGTCATTTATCATTTATTTTCTCTATGTGCTGAAATAGTTACTTCTCATTATCTGTTTGACTCATTTGAAAGAAAATATATTATCTGATATCTTCTTTTTATGTTTGTGTTATTGCCCTAAATAGATAGTAAATCCTGATCTCTTTTGTGTCTCTTGAAGCATCTGGTAAAAATTTTCAGTCTACAAGTGCTATATTAACACATTGCCGCAAATGACGGGGAGAAAATGTGTTTCTAAGTACGGTCTCAATTTAAAAGTGTGCAGCAACGTGTTAAAAATATATACTACTAGCAAGGCACAGCAGACACATTTACAGTCTTTATTGTGTCTGTATATTTTCTGTTATGTCTTCCTCCCCTTGTCCTGACTTTGTAAAGACTGTTTTAAAAAAGATAAAACTTACCTGTGTGGGTTGTTGTTAGGTGCTGTTGCAACTCATAATAAGCAGCCCTTTATACAAAACCCCTGCCCGATCCTATGCCCTCTTCACAATATTTGCTATACTTGAACCTGTTGTTGCAGCCACCATCATCCTGTTGCATTTTTTCTTTTTACTGACCCTCTTCTTTCCCAAGTGTGATGTTCTTCTCCTGGGACTGGAGCTATCCAAAGTAAAGGAGACAAAGTCTCGCTATCCTCATTTCTAATGATCATTTTGGCTCTACTTCTAGTCTTTTCTCCCCTTCATATATATTGTGTTTTATTCAATCTCTCATTTGCGTTGTGTTTCATTGGCTCTACTTCTTTAAAGATACATTTATTTCTGGTTGTTGTTGGGCCTTCATGTCTAGTAAGACTAATAGCAACCCCATGAGCACTCGATCTGACACTATGCCATGCCATCTTCACAATCTCCGAAACACTCAAGCTCATTGCCACAGTTATCATGTCAATACACCTGCTTGAGGCTCTTCCTCTCTTTTACCAACCCTCTGCCCTCCCCAGCATGGTGTCCCTTTCTGAGGAGTATCTCCTCCTAGCAACATGCCCAAAGTATGTGAGATGAAGCCTCTTCATCCTTGCCTCCTAGGAGGACTTTTGGCTGACATGCTCCAAGACATATCAGTTTGTTCTTTTGGCAGTCCATGAGATCTTCAGCACTCTTCTCTGACATCGCAGTCAAAGGCATCAATTCTTTTTCTGTCATCCTTAGACACTGACTAGCTCTCAGATGCATAGCAAGGCACTGCCTGAATTAGGTACATGTTAGTCCTCAAACTGACATCGTTGATGCTCCAAGACATATCAGTTTGTTCTTTTGGCAGTCCATGAGATCTTCAGCACTCTTCTCTGACATCGCAGTCAAAGGCATCAATTCTTTTTCTGTCATCCTTAGACACTGACTAGCTCTCAGATGCATAGCAAGGCACTGCCTGAATTAGGTACATGTTAGTCCTCAAACTGACATCGTTGCTCCTCAATACTTTGGAGAGGTCCTTGACTACAGACTTCCCTAGTGCGTTATGCCCCCTGATTTCCTGACTGCTGGTAACAAGTGTATTGATTGTGGATACAAGTAAGATGATGTTATTGACAGTCTCAATCCTTTCTTGTCATGATGATGTCTGTCAGTCCAAACAAGGATCATGGGTATATTAAAAATCTTCACCTACACTGTAATTCAGATGCATCAATTCTTCTCTGGTCTTTGCCATTCCTTGTGCAGTTTTGTCATCCATTTGTGTCAGGTGGACCTTTGTCCACAAAGTGGCATCTTCATAATAACACTTTTAGCTCAGTGCAATGCATTTTCTTCCTCCCCCCTCTTTGAACATTTTATTGTGATTTTTGTGAAAGGGAACAGAACACAGTAGTTTCACATTCAATAATTTATGCACATTTTGTCCGTGAGGTTAATTGTAATCTCTATGGTAACATTCTACTTAGTTCCTCCCTGGCTTCCCCATTTCCACTCATCTTGTCCTGCTTCTCCCTGTCTTCTGCACTTTGATCTTTGGGAAACACTGACCTTTTGATGGTTTAATTTTTTTGACTGCTGCTTTCATGGATGTTAATTGTGATCAAAGTAAAAGGAAGTCTTTAATAAGTCTAATTTTTTTCTCCATTAAATATTTAAATTTTGAAAACTTATATTTGGAGATTTATCCAAAGTACTAATTCTGTTTTGTTTTGGTTTTTTTACCCCTAAGGTAATCTTTGATGGTGAAGAAGCAGTGGATGCTGGTGGTGTTACGAAGGAGTTCTTTCTTTTACTCTTAAAAGAACTTTTGAATCCCATTTATGGGATGTTTACCTACTATCAAGATTCAAATCTCTTGTGGTTTTCAGATACGGTAAGTTAAGTCACAGTTAAACAGAAGGATTTACTTAAACATTATTTTTAATTATCGAATTAATATCTGATTTCTGACTTTGCAAAAAGGAGAATAACAAAGATAATGTTTTGACATATCTAAATACAGTCTGCCATTTTTACTTACTGCTAACACTTTTTGGTGCATTTTGTTGACCATCAGTCTCATGTCCCTTTCTGATCTTTAAAGGGTAAAAGAACACACTGTGATAAAGCATTGATTTTATGACATATGCAGGATTAATAGTCAAATATGTCTTTTGTTAACAACAGTAATGTACACACATATGCTATGCTTTGTTTTAAAAGTCTTGGTACTAAAACCAAATATGGAAAGACATTCTAATTTCAACCAGACTATAGTTTGGTATTTCCCTATGATGTGACCATCTGAGAAAGTAGCCAACAACCTCAAGTGGCTATTAAGATTCATTAAAATTCAGTACTGAGCATTTTTTTCTGACATATTATCGATATATAGACTCACGAAACTGGAACAACTCAGTATGTTAGTGTTTTATTGGATGCACTCCTATCAAGAAATAAAAGCTATTTCATTAAGTTTAAGATGAGGTATAAATGCTAACCTTTGTCTACATTACAGCTTTAAGGAGTAATTGAGCTTTTGGTAGGAGTATTTCTCTTCAGAAGGTAAAGAAATATTAGTCAGGTGTTCATTATTTTATATTGAAAATACATGAGTTGTCTAGAGTGTTTTGAAGGCACCACACACTGTATTTCTTTTTAACACTTTTGCTTGCATTATGAAAAGTGTTTTGTAGAGCACAACTGGTTTCACTTGATTGGCATCGTCTGTGGACTAGCTATCTACAACTCCACTGTGGTTGATCTGCACTTCCCATTGGCTCTTTACAAGAAGCTACTGAATGTGAAGCCTGGTTTGGAAGACTTAAAGGAACTGTCACCCACTGAAGGAAGGTACAAAGTCAAAGGACAGACTGGTGTGGGAAGCTCTTAAGAATGTTCGCATCCAGGGTTTAAAGGTAGAAATGACCATGTGTGCAAGTTTGAGGAGTTTATCGAACCATATGATTAGACTCTGGTATGTGCTTTGTCTTAGATGTACATAACTACTTGCCTGTAGCAGTGTAGTAAAGGCAAAGGCAAAAGACGTAAAAAGGGGATTACAGCTCAAAGATCCTGTTGAAGAATCTTGATCAACAAAGGGTAAAAGGCAGAGTAAGAGTGCATTTTCTTAGTGGAATTCAGGCTTTTAAGCCCTTTAGACTGGATGATCCTTTAAAGCATCTCCCTGAGATATTCTTTGAACTTCAAATTTTAAAGCGAGAGTATCCCATAAAATCTTTTAACAGTAGAGTAAGTCTATTATGAGCATGATTCATTTTTAAAAAAACTTATCAATGGGAGATCAAGTCAATCACAGCAACTCAGGAGGTGGGGCGGGAATGGAGGTGGAGTAATGTTGAAAAGACGTTGTAAGACTGTACAAATACAAAAAAAACATAGTAATAATAATAAGGGGAAAGATACCATAGCTGTCCAGAAACACAAAATAGCCCCTGCTATGCTTATCCTGAGCAGAAAACAAGAACTTCAGGATTGATTAAAAAATACATACTGCATAAGACCATTATTGTAAAAATAGAAGGATAACTCTAAAACATATATCGGAATTCAGGAGGAAAGGATGAGAGTGGCAGAGTGATGATGGGTAGGGGCAAAACCTTAGGTTGCACAGTTTGTTGAGTAGAGGGATGAGGTGAGGGGCAAGGTGAGGGAATGGGAAGAATCTGGGTGAAAACAGGTTAATGATGGGCAAGGTCCAGCAGTGATTAATTTTATAAACGTAATGTATGGGAATGATTGTATGAAACACAACATGAATGAAGAAGAGTGTGAAACACAATGGATACAAACTTTGTAAGCAAACCAATATAAATTTTTTAAAAAATATAAGTAGAGTTTTTTAAAGGAATTATGTTTTTTATTTTTTAAAACCGCTTTCTTGATATACCATTCTTTGGTATATCTTATATACTTATCTGTTTTTGTTATCTGCCGTCTAGTTGGAACCAACTCATAGCTGACCCTCTAGCAAGTTTTCAGATGCTATAAAATCACATGGAAGGACATTACCCTTCCTGCTCCCTCAGAGGAGGTAGGGAATTGGATTGCAGTGCAACTCCTTTACCCATAAGACCACCAGAGCCCTGCTATAACAGAGATAATACAAATAGATAGCTTTAATAAGCACACATTTTGTCTCCAAGTTTGTTATGTGTACTGGTGAGTCAGAACTGACCCTTCAGTGAGATTTAGTAGCAGTTAATCACATGGAAGGAGATGGCCCATCTTTCTCCCATGGAGAACCTGGTGGATTTGAACCAAATGCCTTCAGGATTGCAGTGTAGCTTCTTACCCAAGGCCACCAGAGCTCCCTAGTGTTAACAATCTCAGAGTTTAGGAGGCTGGAAATCCAAATGCAGAAGCCAGCTCTAGAGCAAAGCTTATATTCTGTTGGTTCTTGAGGAAAGTTCTCTTTTCCTTCAGCATCTGTAGATCTGCCATTTGTCTAAGGTCTCTGTATGTCCTGGCCTTCCTTCGTGCTGAGGAACTTCCCAGCACAGGGACCTTGGTCTAAAAGACTAGACTTGAAGGTACCTTTTAGAAACGAGAACATCATACCTCCAGTACTAGTACTGAAAAGCCACAAAGCATGGGAGAGATGGAGGAACTGAGAGAAGAATGTAGAGAGAGTATTAAAAATCATGGATGAGGAGAGGTAGGCAGGAGCAACTTGTATCTGAAAGAAGATAAATGACAGAAGTCTATGGTACTTGCGTTACCAGCTTGACCAAGAATTCTGTATGTTAAGTTGTGGGCTAATTGATAGCAGATTTAAATCCCATGCTGAGAATTTTCTTTCTGGACAGCTTTTGAAGAAATTACCAGACTCATCTCACTTTAAAAAAGAAAGTATGATGGGCCTAGTTAACACAAGGGAATGTGTTCTCTTGAGAGCTTAGGATGTAATTATTATGGGTATAAGCATGCTTATAAGAATACACTATCCATGTCCCTGAGTGTGGCAGGTGGCAGATAATAGATACTCTAGCAGATATTCTTGGCATCCAGAACCCGTTGCATTAAAAAGTTAGACATTGAAATACTTGAGTGAGAGAGATGACTCTGTCGAGGTTTGTTTGTTGTTTTTGTTTTTTTTATTGATGGAAAATTATCTGTTCAAGCATATGAGTGAAGCCAGTCAATTGGACCATAGCCACATCTTCTCTACATCAACTTTTAGGCAGTTTTAAGATTTAGAGTACACAAATGTTCAGAGAGGTGGCCTGGTTGACTTTTTTCATAGATCAAGAACAGTTTGTAAATAGGAAAAGGGATCAATATTTTTCAGGTCTACTGCTTTAATTCTTTTCAGTGTGTAGACACAGTTGTGAGGCTTGTTTGTTTTTATAGTCTGAATTTCTACGTAGTCTAGGATCTTATGACGTTTTTCTTACATGCAGTCTGGCTGTGTAAGTGAAGTGGAACATGATTGCATGTCTGATTTGTCTCTTGCTTTCTTGATTGTTCTATGATTAGGAGTCTTCAGGAGCTGTTAGATTACCCTGGAGAAGATGTGGAAGAGACTTTTTGCCTCAACTTCACAGTAAGATTGTCATGGTTTAGTTATTATGATTGTGATTTCTATTAGATTGTACTTCCAAGTCACAGTTAGCACTTATTCTCTTCCATATTAAAGAACAAGTTTAGAAAGTTCTCCGAGTGAAAGTATTATAGTCATAGAGTCTTGATTGCTTTATTGTTGTTATGTGCTGTCGAGTCACCTCATAGTCATAAACTCTGCTTTATCTTGAGCCAATTTCATTGTCTCTGACATTCCTACCCCCATTATTCCAGTCACTCCATCAATCCATCTCATGCAGTGTCTTCTTCTCTTGCACTGTCCCCTCCACCATTCGAAGCATGATGTCCTTCTCTAAGAACTGGTCCCTCCTGGCGTCATACCCAAAGTATGTCAGATGGAGCTGCAAAATCCTTGCTCCAAGGAGCAACCTGGTTTCACCTTCTGCAGATGCACCTGTTTGTTCTCTTAACAATCCATGGTATATTCAATACTCTTCTTCAACACCACAACTCAAAGACATTGATTCTTCTTCTGTCCTCTTTAGTTATTGTCCAGCTCTCTGACACATAGCAAGTAGTTGTGAAGACCATGGCCTGGATCATGCACAACTTATATTTAATGAATGGCATCCACTTCCTAAACCACATGCCTATGAAAACCCTATGAACTTGGAGAAACTTATAAAGGCATTAAGTCTTTTGTTCATGGAGTTGCTATGAGTTGTGCTCAACTCGATGGCAATCAACAGCAATAATACATATACGTAAAAGATTACTAAAACATGCATTTTCCTTATGCAAAAATATTTCTTTGCTGGAGTTTTTGTCTTTTCTTCTTAATTGCATTTTTTGGTAAGTCCATGTCTTAAGACAAAATTTGCCTTATTTTTGGATGTTTCAGTAGTCTTCTTCTTAAGTACGTAGGTAACTTTTATTGTTGTTGTTAATGTACCATTGAGTCAGAACCAACTTATAGTTGCCCCCTCCAGCACATTTTAAGAGGTGATAAATTGCACAGGAGGAGATTGCCCATCTTTTTTCTACCAAGCAGCTGGTGGATTCAGGCCACCTACTTTTGAGTTGGCAGCACAATTTCTTAACCATTAGGCCACCAGAGTTCCTTAAGTATATAGATTAATCATACCTTTACTTTTGCCTTAAGACAGAAATTACCTTGTTATTGTTGTTGTTAAGTTCAATGAAGTGAACAAACACTGAGAGTGACCCTATAACAATGAACCTGAACCCTGCCGTATTCTGAACCCTGGTCGTCTCTGATAATCTCTGACAAACTCAAGCCCACCATTCCAGTCACTGTGCCAGTCTCTTTCTTTGAGAGTCTTCTCCTGTGCTGACTTTGCTACCTTTCCAGCATAATGCCCTCTTGAAGGACTGGCCTTTCCCAACAACTTGCTCAAAGTATGTGAGATGGAGTTTCACTATTCTTACCTCCAAGGAGCTCCTTGATCGTGTCATGTTGTATCTTTCACCCCAAGAATTTTCTGTGATAATAATCAATAAAGCTACCATAAGTATGCATAGAAAGGCAGAGGGTCAGCAAAGGAGAGGAAGACCATCAATTGACATGGTAATTGTCATAGTGGGCTCTAATGTGTCAGGAAGTGTGAGGATGCCGCAGGATAGGGCAGAGTTCTGATCTTTGGTTCAAAAGGGTCTCTATGGGTTGTATTTGATTCAATGGCACCTAACAGCAACAACAGCTATGTTTGTTCCTAATCTTCCTTCATTCAGCTGAAGCACAAATGATAAGAAAAGACTTGATATGTTTTCTTTTCTCCACTTAATTGCAGATCTGTCGAGAAAGCTATGGAGTGATTGAACAGAAGAAACTGATTCCTGGGGGAGAAACGGTGAATGTGTGTAAGGATAACAGGTCAGTGCAGCCTCAGGGCTGTTACGAGTTCTTGGTTTCTCTGTTATTTAACTCTTAGACCAGGTTTGCAACTAAATTTTAGTCTCATTTTCAGAGAAAGTAAAAACAACAGAGTACAAATTTGTTCAAACAACAGAGTACAAATTTGTTCAAACAACAGAGTACAAATTTGTTCAAACAACAGAGTACAAATTTGTTCATCTTAGTGATTTTTTTTATAATAGAGGAAGCACTTGGACTCCTGTTTATGAAATGACTGTTAAAAGTTCTAGATTTTGTCTTAATAACTTTGATACTGCAGACATGTAAAATGTTCCCCAGCTTCAGGCATAAGAATTAAATTAAATATTGCAGAAGTTGTAGATAATCCAAGAGAAATTATCATGACTTTAGGTAGCTATTATTATGAGACAATTTTATCTCAAGTAGATGTTGCAATCAAAACTTGTACTTGATAAAATCTCTCAGAGCTAGAAGTAGTTTCCTTTCTTTGTCCATATAGGTACTTGTGGTAATAGCAAATCTATCTTTAGGTATACATGTGCACAGACTTCTGATTCTCTGTGCCCTAAAAATGTTTTTAGAATTTGGAAATTTACAGTCCAGAACGGTGGAGGGACGGAGAGAGGAGGAACCATCAATGAGATGGATTGATACAATGAGGTAGTGAGTGAGGGTAGGTGTGTCAAAGACAGTACAGTTGGCACAGGATAGAGCAAGTTTCAGGGCTGTTGAACTAATAGGGTCATTATGAGTTGTAAGCAACTTGATGGCACATAACAAGAACAACAAAATAATTTTATTTGTCAGATTATTCTTCTAGTTTTGATGATACCTTTTTAATTTTAGATGCACATCAACACAAAAGTACTTCTAGGTCTTTCAAATAGTTCCTTACCTTTTGTATGAGATTTCAGACAAAATAATACATGAATTATTTATGAGAAGGGAGCTGTGGTGGTGTAATGAGGTGACACCTTTTTGGAGGATCAAAGGGAGAAAAGGTGTGTATTCTCTGTGTGATTTATAGCCTCTAAAAAATGCACTGGAGGGGCTCCTCTGAGTTGGTTCTGACTCACTGGTAAAGAGTTTAAGGGGGGTTTTTTTACACATATTTTAAGTGAGATCTTATAATGTTTGCCTTTTTGGTATCTGACTTAGTGTTTTTAAAATTCATTCATATCATAGCACATATCAGAATTTAATGTCTCTACATGCTATTAAATTGGATCATATTTCATTGTATATACATGCATTTTGTTTATCCATTACTCTGATCATAAAAATTGAGAGTACCTTTCATGTCATCTTTATAAGTTCTTAGTTTCTTCAAAAGCTCAGGTGAGTTTCTCCTTTAAGAAAAAGTTCCATACGTGTATTTGTATGTTAATTTGTCTGTTGTGTGTGCACGGAGCGCAAACACTCAGGCAGGAAAAGTGACTGCTGTGCTGGGACATGAGCATTAACTCGCTAGTTTTCTGCAAATGCTCTGAGCCAACCAGTTGTGTAATGTGTTTTGCCCTTTATGAGTTGTTGTTCTGAACGGTGACTTTGTGCTTTGTTGTGTAACTTTGGCCTATAATGGATTAAAAATGATTTATGAATAATAGTGTTTGACCTTCCTTGATGAAACAAAGGGAGGTTGCTGGCTCGATGGTAGCTTGCATGTTTTATGGCTTTCTAAGGAACTATCAGATAAGTAGTTTAGGAAACGGGGGGTCAGGATCAACCCCGTTAGGAAGTGGTGGAAACCACTGGACATTTTATAGGGCATAGTAAATGCCCCTGTATTCTAGGAAGCATGATGATACACTCATAGGTAGAAAACCCTGAAATTAAAGTATTGTCAGAGGTGGGAACATTGTTGGCTGTGTTTGCATCTAAGAATGTGTCCCTGTGGTCTTCTTTGTGAGGCCCTTGTTCCTGTCCTGCTGCCCATTTTGGGGATATATCCTGCCCTAGGCAGGGCCTGCAAATATTTATCCTTAATTTTACCTTCTCTCCTAATGTCCTTTATTCATTTCTCTATTATAACTATATGACTTGTGGGGTTTGTATGAACTCTTTATATTAAAATAGTAACTCTTGGCTACCCATGTTGTTGTTGTTGATTGCCTTCGAGTCGAGCATGACTCAGTGACCCTATGAACAAAAGGCCTGAAGCCCCTCTACAACTGTCTACATTTGTCAAACTTCATAGAGCTTCTGGAGTTATATTGTTTAGGAAGTGGTGCTATCCATATTTGAGACAAATTTTATTTCCAGTCTGTTATTTGCTTCTGAGAATGTGGAGCGGTACATGTCTTATAAATCTTTATAATTTCTTAAATATTGCTTTACCATGCCTGTTGATTACTTTTTTTAGTCTTATAACTTTGAACTTAGCCTTTCTCTGTTAATTAGTGAATAAATATTTATTACTTCTTTTTCAGTCCACCTGGTTGAAGGTCTTCCTTTCCTTTGCTATCCCTCTGCCTTTCCACATATGTTGTGCCCCAACCAGGTAGATTGACACAGTGACTGCTGCTGTGGGCTCTAGAATGTCAGAAAGTGTGAGGATGGCACAAAGTTCAGATCTCTTTTTGATTGGGCCATTATGCGTCATACTCAACTAGGTGGCATCTGAAAACAACAATAATCACACATTTTCACGTAAATGTTTTAGAGTCTGTAGTCTAAGATAAAAATCTAAATTTTTTCCTAAATACTGTTAGAATTTCCCCCCTTGTAACTCCAGTCAATGTTTTTATTTGAATTGTGCTAAGTTAACAATTACTTGGGGGGAAAAAATGGCACTCTTGTCACAATACATTCTTATCACTCAGGGGGCTAATATTTAACATTTCCTAGTACAGTTTTGTGGTCTTTGTTGGTTTGGTTTTTTTTTAACCATATAGGATAGACACATTATTCCTTCAAGGTTTTTATAAATATGCAGCCTCTGAAAATCTTCTGAGGGGTCAGATATGTGTTGTCCCAACTTGACAGTACATGACAACAACGTTGTTACTAGGGGAGCTCTGTAGGGAGTAGTACTGCTTCTCTAAAGGTGGTGCCTATCTGGCAATTTGAATCCACAGATCTGTTGGGAGTGCTGGTGGCCTAGTGGTAAGGATTCACACTGCAATTCCAAAGGCACGTGGTTCATATCCACCAGCTGCTCCAAGGGAGAAAGATGGACAGTCAACTCTTATGCAGTTAACTGACTCTGAACTCTCACTGGAGGGTGGGTCAGTTGTGACTCTATGGTACTCAACAACAACATAACTCTTTTTTTTTAGTCTTTATTTTCCTTTATTTTTTTTGTCCTCTTTTTAATTTAATAGCATTCCGTTTATTACAAATATTTAGTATTGGCTTCCCATATTTGCCCCCTTTTATTTTTTAATCATAGTTCTATTATCATCTAGATGAGCAGCCTTTATACACAAACAAATTAAACATAATAAACTCAAAGAAATACTTTCAAAAATCTCCATATGATCAGAAGGATTCAGGATGAATATTCCTTGAAAGTCTGTTTTAATTGTCCCATTGCCACAGTGCTTGTCAAACCACTTCTGATTAATCTCCTTTGTCAGTGTGTCCTTTGCCATTCCCTGTCACTCCTCCCTGAGAGAGATTTCACCCTGATTCATAAGGAAAAGGGGATGGCACATTCTCTTAGCTCTTCCTGCTGAAAAGGGACGCTGTAAGTTTCAGGGTGAAGATCTTCTCTCACAACTCTAAAGGGCCCCTTTGGCAATAGGAAACATGTAGACTATTATGCAGTTTGATTTTGGAATTTAGATGCACTGTTATCAGTTGTGCTTATCCATACATGTTCATATCCTTGAAGATGCATCATGAAACTGTTGTAGCCCAGAAGACACAAATTTAACTAACAAGTTAAAAGTACATGAGTCAAAAATTAAAAGCAATAATATTCCAAGTAGAGGTTCTAACAGTGGCACAGATCAAGTTACAGAGAGAAGGTAGTTCTTAAAAGAAAAGGCTTATAGACTGGCACTTTGTCTATTATAGTATAAAGGTTAGGAACCACAAGATGTAGAGGCTGAACTATGTCATTTATTGTTCTTAAGTCCTGGACCAAATTCCATCTACCACTGGGTTGTTTTACAGTTTGGAAGTTCACTTGCAAGGCAGAGGTGAAGTAAGGAACTGCTTATGAGGTTTTCTGTCAATTCCAGCAACTAAGAAATAGTGAGAAGAGTTGGGACTTCAGAAGGCTTTTAGGACCAAATAATAGGCTCTTGTGTCCAGGAGAAAATGAATGTACTTACCAGTAATGTTAATGCTCACCCACAGCTCTTCTGGGAGGATCTGAATTGTTGAAGTGTCCTCCTTTGTTTCCAGCTGGGAGCTGGGGCCTGTCAGTCCTGTCAGCCATGAGGCCCTGATGTGGGCTGCCCTTGGCCATGTGTCCTTCAGATCCACACTTAAAGAAAGTGAGTGGGAGCTTCCTCTCTACTCCCTAGCCTATCTGTGGCTCTCGTCTGTGACACTGTCTACTGAAGTGGCCCAGCTTTTCACAGTGGAAGCAATTCTGACCTCCTTTAGTATCTTTGGACAGCATTGTTTATGAGTAAGACTTCCTTTTCCTGACACAGGCCCTAAACTAGCAGCAATAGCTGCCCCAATAATTTTGACCATTCTCTGGTCTTTTCTCTTCCCTCTAGATCCCAGTTGTTAAAATGAATTTCAGAAAAAATTTACAGGTATTTTGGATTTCCATTCATTCATTTTTGCACATTTCTCCCCTCCCAAGCATTCCCCCCAGAACACTACCCTTTTGGAAAAGTAAAAGAAAAATTCTTTCATTGTTTTACAAACCTTCCCCCATGTCCACTCCACCATGTAGCCTTCGCTCTAGACTCCTGTCACGACAAAAATACCTAATCACATATCCCTCTTAAACAGTTTTCTCTCTCAATGCAATATACATTATTGAAACCATCTTTCTCAGTCTCTCCCCAACCCTAAGGTCAGTCCTGTTTTAC